AGGCTCCTTACTCATTGCAAGGTTTACGTCAGATCGTCAAGTCCAAACCCTCGATACTTCGCGAATTCCTCGCTCAGTCACAAGGCTCCAGTCTTCTTCAAGCTTTACTTCTCGCATCCGAATCACCAAACGACGAAGTAGCGCAAGATGCCAAGGCTGTCAATGCATCGATCCAGACCATACTCTCATCAGGCACTGATTCTAAGCAATCGATATATGACCTCATTCAGCAGGGTCTGCGAGATGCTACATCAACGTCAGTCTCGGTTGAGACCTTAGTGGATCTGGCGAAGCAATCCGTCAAAGCAGGCGGCGACTGGGATCAGGTTTCCAAAGTTTTCCCTAACATCGATGACTGGAACTCGGCGCTCGAACCGTTTCTCAATGCCGCACCCAAGACCTCGCTAGCCATCACAAACCCTCTTGGAGGTGCTGTCTACCTAGTAAAATCAGATCAATCGCCATCCAAGATTATCAACATGACACGGGATGTTGACGGATATCCGGTCGCGTACAGAATAAGTCAATATGTGACCCGATTGTTCAAGAACCCTGATCTCTTCTCGATCAGCATAGTCCCATCTGAGCTAAAGGCTGCCTATCTTCACAACATCGCCCTCGCCGTGCAGCTTGCCGATGACAATCTTGGTCTTGCAGGCGCAAATGGTTTCTGGGCACACTATGATCTGGATGTCGAGTCTGATGCTATGACGTTCATTTCAGATGCGCAGTCGTTCGTAACGCAGGAACTACGGATGATAGCCGCTACCTGGTCGGACAGCAGCGCTGAATCACTCATGACATGGGCTAGTAGCATCTTGTCGAATGTCAGTGCTGACACAAATGCTCCCACGTACTACCATGCGCGGACATACAGCGTACTAATTGCGGAAGCAATTGAGATTGCTGGGTGGAAAAACTCCCAGACTGCTCCAATGCAGGAGTTGCTCAAGACAACGAGAAAATCCAAAAACCTATTTCAGTTACTAGGACTATTGAATGGGTTCAAAGAGCCGTTATCGGCTTCCAAATCTTGCCAAAGGATGTCCAGCGAAATCCTGGCCGACCTTACAGGTTTGGACATCGAGGCTAAATCGTCAGAAGCACTGCAGAATCTCGTACAGCTGAACAGTATACTAAGCCAGGACAATTTTGCGGAAGAGGGCGCCAAACACCGTGTGCTTCTCTTTGTCAATCACGTAGTCTCGTGGCTTCAAGAAGGCCAAGTCGCACGAGCTGTCAAGGCAGAATTGTGTCGTTCACTTTTAGTACTTCTTCCAGTGACAAGCGAACGGTACGGCGATCATTGGGGAAACATCCTTAATGCGCTATCTACTATCTGGTCGGCAACAACCGAATTGGAAACGAATGAGTATGGCATGGATAGCCCGATCCCCCTCGTACATGCATCGCTCAAACTATACGCCCAACTTCGCACCTTGGTTAATGCGGAAGAGCCGAATGATGATCTTCTAGATGCCTGGAAAGAGGCAGAGCAGCCTGTTGCTGATGGACTAATCAACATCTTGAAGCACTCCCAGCACTTCCCTGACGAGTTCCATCAGCCTCTCAAGATGGTGAATGATGTCCTAGCGCGTCAGATATCCAAGGTGTCGCTTAAGAATCTCGAATCAACTGAAGAGCTGTTTCCGCTGTTGTATGTGCAGTCGCAACCCGTTCAGCAGACTGCGTTCGACATTCTGCACAAGCAAATCCCTGCAGCTCAAGAGCAGATCTCCATTGATGCAGCACTGGAGAAGTCTACTGCGCGTCTGCCAGAAGAGCTTCTATCTCTCGTTATTGATGCCCCTACAGCCGCATCATTGGCTGATACAAACTTTGAAAGAAGCGTGCCATTATCACTGCGTGGTTATCTGCTTAGCTGGAGATTGGTCTTTGATCATCTTGAACATGCTTCTTTCAAGGTCAAGAACGACTACGTTGAGCACATTCGTGAAGGCGATTACCTGCCCGGCCTACTGGACTTCACATTTGAATTCCTCGGACACGCAAACAACAGACCCGTCGACGTTTCGAAGCTAGATATCACAACATATGAAGCGGATGTCGAGCCTCCAAAAAGGGATCTCCAATGGCTCTTGACACATCTCTACTTCTTGTGCCTACGCGACGTTCCTTCGCTTACAAAATCTTGGTTCAAAAACTGCAAGTCGCGTGCGATTGTAGTCTCACTTGAGCCCTGGACAGAGAGATATGTCTCTCAACCCGTAATCGGCGCTTCCCTCGATGCAGTAGCGAAATGGTCTGAAGAACAAGCTGCAGCTGAGCCTGACTCCCCCTTCACCGTCAAGGTTGTCTCTCGTGCTCGTGAGATTACTGCGTCTTACATCGTCGATGAGCAGACAATGGCGATGCGCATATCCCTACCTGCTGCTTTCCCGCTAGCAAACGCTCACATTGAAGGTCTCAACCGTGTCGCTGTAAACGAAACCAAATGGCAATCCTGGCTACGGACTTCCCTGGGTGCCATTACAATCTTTAATGGCTCTCTGATTGATGCACTAACCACCTTCAAGAGGAACGTGGACGGAGCACTCAAGGGACAGAGCGAGTGTGCAATTTGTTACAGCATTGTCGGCTCAGACAGGAAGCTGCCAGACAAAAAGTGCGCGACCTGCAAGAACCTGTTCCACGGTGTTTGTTTGTTCAAGTGGTTCAAGAGCAGCGACGGCCCTAGTTGTCCACTTTGCAGGACCAATTTCCAGTATGCATAGACTGAATGAACAAGGGTGGGGCTCGTATCAGCATATGTAGACGAAAAGCTGTACATAGGAATTTAGTAGGCAGATGAAAATCGACCTAGGACATACCAAGAAGGTGGGCAAGGCGGTGGCGGTCTTGTTGTAAAAAGAGCCTCGGCTGTACCTGAATGTTGTACTTACTCCTCACGCCCTAACGCCATTTACCGACACTAAATCAAGACATGTACATCATTTACTACGCATCCATGCTCATCCAACATTTATACTAAACTCCCCTTGCCCTTGCCCTTTCCACTAAATCTCCCCCATCTCACCCCCACAATGGTCTCCCCACCCCCAACCCTAATCTTCAACTACGACATCTCCTGCCCCTTCGCCTACATAGCCTCGACCCGTGTGCAATCCCTCGCCCAGCGCACAAATGCAACACTCATCTACCACCCCGTCCTCCTCGGCGCCATCTACCGCGCCACCGCCGCGCCCCAGGGCGCCGGCGGCAGCGCAAGCGACGTCTTCAACTCGACCAAAAAAGCCGTAACGGGACAAAACATGCAACGCACCCTATCCCGCTACCAAGTCCCTTACCACCCCCCGCCCAAGCACCCCCGCAAAACAGTAAATGCGCTGCGCATGCTTTACTGCGTCGCAGACCAGGATAAGAGAAGGGAACTTACGGATCGCCTCTTCCGCGCGTACTGGGTTGAAGGGAGAGATGTAAACGACGATGCCGTCTTACTTCAGATCGCGGCGGAAGCAGGGGTACAGGGACTTGATGCGAGTTGCTTTGCTAAACTGGAGGCGAGAAGGGAGTTGGAGAAAGAGACGGGGTTGGCGATTGAGAGGGGGGCGTTTGGGGTACCTGGGTTTTGGATTCCGGGGGCTGGAGAAGGGGGGGAGGGAAGGTTTTTTTGGGGACAGGATCGTATGCATTTTGTTGAGGCGACGTTGCTTGGATTGTCATTGGCGGGGGAGGATGCGAAGGGAGGGCAGGATGCGTGGACCCAAGTGAAGAATTTGCGGGCGCTGCTTCCTCGGGTTGTGTATTCGAATCATTTGCATCTTGCGAGTACGCCGGCTGTTAAACTGGAATTCTGGTTTGATTTCTCGTCGCCGTGGGCGTTTTTGGGATATACGCAGCTTGCGCGGTTACAGCGTACGTTTGGGCCTGGACTGGAGATTGTGCTCAAGCCGTTCTTGCTGGGTATCTTGTTTCGCGAGATAGGGGCCCCGAATATGCCGATGATGGCGGTTAGTCAGGTGAAGGCGATGTGGTCGAGGCGCGATCATGCGGATTGGGTGAGGTGGTGGAATGCGGTTGATGTGCAGGAGGGACAGCAGCAAGGTCTTCAAGGGATGGATGGGCCGATCAAGTTTTATTGGGCTGATAAGTTTCCCATCCGTACGCCGACAGTGCTTAGAGTGGGGATCGTGGAGCCGGCGGCGACGAAAGTCTTGTGTAAGTCATTTGTTCTTTTGGCTATGTGTCTTCGACTTTGCCTTTGCAGAGGCTGTTGCGCAAGACACCGTTGATGGAAGTTTGGGAAAGCAGATGCTAACGGGATGATAGACTCGGCATGTTGGGAGCAGAACAAACATGTAGCAGACGAGTCTGTACTTCAATCGGTTCTCGACGAGGCAGGGTTCAACGGTGCTGATCTCATTACGCGCGCCAATAGCCCTACCATCAAGGAGAAACTACGGGCTCTGACAGCTGAAGCCAAAGAACTGGGACTTTGCGGTGCACCCACTTACCGCGTGCTGAGACGGCAACAGAATGGAGATTTCAAGCCTGTAGGCGGCTTGGTGTGGGGACAAGATGAGATCAATGTTGTTGAGGACTTGATTGCTGGATGGTCACCTGAGGCGAGTAACGGCCAGATCGCTGAAGTAGGGAAGGTCAGCTATGAGGATGTACAAAGCGGAAAGGGTGTCGGTGCTAAGTTGTGATCATAATCATCACATTGCAATTATGGGTGGACAATTAGATAATGTTAAAACATAAAAGAATCTTGACGTATTTATGGCAATTTTCAAAGTTATTAAACCATGTGTCATTCCGATATAAGTACATAGTGCATGAAAATGACTGTGAAAAGAACAAACCATTACGCCAAAACCTAGGGTCCTCCCGGGTATCATAAATCATAAATAATGTTTGTGTGGGTATCTGCTTGGGTATATGGTATGTCGTGGTGAGTGATTAGAAAAGATGACTGAGACCCGTGGTTGGTCGCTGCAAGACTGCACAACGGCAGAAACCTAAAGATCAACTTGGGGTTATGTGCGGCGCTTCCTCCTCCGTGCTGCCAGCTGTGGAGTCCAGATGCCACTGAAGAGGTCCTCGCATTCATCTTCGTCCTGCGAATCGAATTCGATATCTGTCTCCTTGGCCTCGGTGACCATGCCATTGTCCTCTACTTCCAAGGCCGGATCCCATTCTGATCCTTTCACAGTCCTTTTAGCCTCAAGTATGAATTTTCCGATCTTGTACTTTTGACTGTCTTCTGCAGCGTCGACATACTTCCATCCTAAAACGCTACCACAACTGCGACAGCTTATATCAGACACAATGTGTACGCCAGTGACCAGCTGTCGGGACTGAGGCTTGTGTGTGAGTGTGTTGGGCAAGTCGCCATTCTTGAAGCCTGCTGGTGCGATGTTCCCACCTGAGAGAAAGCTGGATGACGGCGGTGAACTGACAAGGTATGCGCGACCATGTCTTCCAGTAAAACCCTTACTTATGATTGACGACGTAGGAATAAGATCGGCGAGACATTTCTGACAACGAAGATGCGAGGTCGGCTGGGTGGCGAGAAAGGATGTAGGCTGTGGCGGGGACGAAGACAGCGATGACGACGAGCTGGTAGAATCGCTGAACGCCGAGCTGCTGCGCCGGCGGAAGTTGAAGCTTGGGAACAAGTAAAGAGGAAAGGGGGTTGTTGGTGAGTTCAGCATGATGTGCTTGGGGGAGGAAACCCGGTTAGTACGAAGTCTTGTTGAGTGTTTTTCGCAAAATCAGATCAAAGTTCTCAAAGATGGCCTAGACAGATGCGCGAAAAGTATCGGCGGTGTAGAAGAGTGTTCAGAAGAGATGCAGGCGCGTAGTAAGAGGGTAATGTTCCTGGTTATGTTCGATGAAGCGCTCAATAAAAGGTCGAGGCTAAAATGGCCCCAAACCCGTGGAACGATCTCTGCCGACTGTGTAATAGTTGTGTCGAGATCCGAGGAGCCTAAGGAACCCCGCACTAGGATTCGGCGTGGATTGCTAAGTCAACCTTTAGAGGTTGTCGCACAGGAAAGTGACGTGATGAAGTTCGAGGGGGTGATGCCGCGATAAGCGATAGCCGATAACGGATAAGACACGGATAAGGCGCCACAACCGAGTAAGGCGGAGCAGGACGGATATGCTTGGAGTTATCGATAATGGTAACCCTTGTAGGACTCAAGCATCGAAGGGGTGAGCGTGGTGGAAGTAAGAGCTGCAGTAGAGAGAGATGGAGGAGTGAAGAATATAACACAAGGCGGTCAATACGAAACTTTGGTCATCTCCTCGGATGGTACCCCGCGCCATCGAATCATAGTCAGCCTCCTGATCATGCGGCCCTTAGAAACCCAGCATCTTGTCACGGGATGCGCTGGCACTTGGATCGCATAAGATTGGGACACACACTTTTGTTAAGATATGTGTGTCCCTGTGACTGGTGCTTGTTCGCTGGAGTCATGACAAGATGTGCTTCTGCTGTCATGCCACAACCCTCTAGGAGATGCCCCACTCTTTCACTCCAGTAAACTCCTATTACGCACTGTCCTAAGGTTGAGCTGAATCATGATCATCCCTTCTAGCAGACATGATGGATTTGGTAGAAGTTGTTTGAGTTGTTTTGATACCCTATTTGCCACCTTTCCCAGCTTCAAACCATCATGTGCGGGCTAATGCTGCTTCCCATATTCACTACTGCGCTTTCCGTTTCCAGCGTCAACAACGCCTTCTCTCTATGGCACAAAAAACCAGACTAGCGTTGCTTTCCACTCCCGTTGCTTCACTTGCTCCCCTGACTGGGCGTTGGTTGAAATCCCTAGCGTTTATCCGGCATTATTACTCCATCCCAGTACTAACATTCGGTAATATTGAGACATCAGAACTGTCGGGATGATGTCTCTTGTCCCAACGCGGAAAAGAAAAGATTTCCATAACCCTGGACAAGAAGCGCAAGACAAGGGGAAAGTTCGTGTTGTCGAACGATCAGTAGAAGCACATCCTGTTGCTACTGCAAAGCGTCCGCATGCGCGCAACACTACTCCTGCTGGCCGTACATTCACCACACTACGGCGTGGGAGCATAAGAATCTTTTCCATCTTCCGTAATGGCAAGAGTAAGTGTCTTGGGTACCGTGTCCTCGTAGTTATCAAATCTGACTCTACCATCAGGCTCTACTCCGAGCTCAGCAGAGGCTACGTTGGAGAGCAACGGCTCAACAGCAAACAAATCCTGTAGTCCGGCTCACCCGAGAGTCGGAAAACGCTTCTCCCAATCCTCTTCGCGAATTCCTCTTACCTCCGACCTACCTATCAGTCTCCCGCCCCTCTGCCTGGGCCCTGACAATTCATCCCTCCTACAGCTTGCCAATGCTGCCACGTTCGATGGCGAGTCCGAACCAGTGTTCCCGACTCGCACACCTCCTCCTACGCCTGTAGCCACAAGCAGATCGACTTCAAGTTTGTCTAGGCAGCTGACTACAAGGCTTTCGAATGCCCTACTGAACAATGAAACCGTAGTACATCGCACAAAATTGAGTTCTCGTCCTACTGTTGAACGCAGTTACTTCAACCGACACAGTAGCGACAAACATACTACCATCTCACCTAAGACCCCCATGTCCGAGATATCTTCTCTGCCATCAAGTGGCTTCAGTCCAGGAAGCAGTGGGGCTCCACAGTCAACTGCTCCCACTTCTCTGGTTTCTTCAGGCGGCCCACGATCAGCTGAGACAACGCTTCGCACACATAATGGCCGCTTTGTAACCGACAGCTCACCTCCCCTTTCCTATGAAGCGACCGCAGAGCATTTGCCTTCTCGGTTTTTGGTGTTCCCTCGCCAAGACGCACCACGATTATGTGAGCCTTCCATTGCGACTATTGAAAAAGCGGCGGCAGCGAAGATCTTCTTCGAGTCACATTTCAATGAGCTTCTTACTATCAAAGTTACACCAAGGTCGATGCGTCGTCGCCAGATGGAGCGTAAACTTCTCGTCATGACTGTCTCTGAGGAGCAGCGTCAATGCAATAGACAAGAATAGTATCTCTCCGAAACCTATCACTTGCGCCAAGTACGAGTGATGAAATCGAACACCGTAGCTCGACAGACCATGAAGGGTGTACACGTCTCGAACTACGATATTATACGGGTGTTAGGTAAAGGTAGCTTTGGAGTCGTCAGACTTGTTCGTGAGAAGAGCGAACACTGCGAGAGTCTCCATGGTAGCAGCTCCAGCACGAAATATCTTGATAGATCTTTGACACCAAAAGAAGAAAGTCCTTCTAGTCCTTGTCGCAGACCAAAACAGGTGTTCGCCATGAAAGTTATCAGGAAATCCGACATGCTCCGAAATAGCCAGGAAGGTCATTTGCGTGCAGAAAGGGATTTCTTAGTTGCTTCAGAAAACTCCCGTTGGGTAGTGCCTCTAATTGCCGCCTTCCAAGACAACAACAACTTATACCTTGTGATGGAGTATATGATGGGTGGAGATTTTCTCGGACTGCTCCTTCGCGAGGATATTCTCGACGAGAACGTGGCCAAGTGGTATCTGGCGGAAATGATACTTTGCATTGAAGAGGCACACAAGATGAACTGGATCCATCGCGATGTCAAACCTGACAATTTCCTAATCACCTCATCTGGACATCTTAGAATTTCCGATTTTGGTCTCGCCTTTGATGGCCACTGGGCTCATAATCAGACATACTATAATGAGCAGCGATATAGCCTGCTACGTGACTTGGGCATGCATGTCCAGGGTGATGCACAAGATGTGGAAGAGGAGAGAACCCGAAAAGATGCCCGTAAAAACATGGACTATATTTACGGCAATGGATCAAAGCGCAGCCGCTATCAAACTCGACAGGAGACTGCCAATGGGCCCATTATTGATTGGTTGAACCGTGAGCAAAGACGTCAGTTCGCCAAGAGCGTTGTAGGAACCAGTCAGTATATGGCTCCAGAGGTCATCAGGGGTGAAAACTATGATGGGCGTTGCGATTGGTGGAGCATTGGCGTAATACTATACGAGGTATGTTGCTTCAGAAAACATCACGTCTCTCTAACATGCTCAGTGCCTCTATGGATGTACACCGTTTTTCTGCGAAAACAGACAGGCTACAAAGGCGCGAATAATTGTACGTAGAATCACATGGGGTCCTGGATTGAGGTTAACCGGAGTAGGATCACAGACGATGGCTGCGATTCCCATCCGATCAGCGTTACGCTCGTCCGAACATTGATCGCGTACCCCTTATGCCAGTCTCACGCAATGCCATCGACCTAATAACGAGACTGCTCGAAGAGAGGCAGGATCGGCTTTCCGCCAGACGATACCGTGAGAATGACTGGGTGCTCCGCGATAAGTCTCTCAGTATGCGTAGCAACCGACACATTCACAACAACACTGGTCACATCGTCTTCCCCCATGATGCCGAAGACATCAAATCGCATCCATTCTTCCGCAACATCCAGTGGTCCTTGCTGCACATGACCCGCCCACCTTTTGTTCCTCGTGTTCATGGCGGACAGCCCATCACCAAGTACTTTGACGACGAGGCCGATATTCTAAGCGCATCTGATCATCTCGACTCTTCCAGCTACGAATTTTTGGAAGTAGCTGAAGAGCCAGCACCGCCTTTTGCTGCAGCAGTACCCAAAGCTAACGTTGATCCTCCCGCTATCACAATTGATCCCCAGGTCCGCATCCCTGGAATCTTTGAACAAATCGCATGGGATAGGCTGTGTACTTCATTCAAGAAGATACCAAGGCGGAAAAGGGAGAAAAAGAGACCTCGAGATAAACTCCTTCGTGATCCAGAGGTTGGTCGCGCGGTACTGGAGATCAGGAAGAGGGGTGCTTTCGTAGGGTATACATACCGTAGGCCGAGATTCTCGCTGCCTGATTTGGACGATAAGATTGCGGGGGCGAGAACGCATGTCCCGCGGCCTGGTATGACTGCTACGAGTGCCTAGACTTTGTAGCTACGTTTTCATTTAGTATCATTAAAAAGTATTACTACAACCTACGCTCTCCCATTTTTTCTCAAAGCACGCATCGTACCCAACGATTTTCTCTCCTTTTCCAACAGTGATCGCAGAAACTATCCCCTCACCCCCTCCCTCCTCAACCCCCTCACATTTCGCCCAAACACAGCATACAACACCCCCGCCGTCACCAAAAACGCCAAAATCCCCATTGTCACGCCTAGCCCTGCTGCCGCCGCTCCACTAAGTCCCGCCGACGACTGAGACGGCTTCACTGAGACGAGAGAGGCAGAGGCGGTACTCGTTGCATCTAGTCCCGGAAATGCAACCGTACTCTCAAACGTAGGGGAGTTGGATGTAATGCTAGTTGGAGGAGATATAGTCACCGTGTCTCCCCCGTCATCAGTATTACTTTTACTCTGGTGTACCACTGATGATGAAGATGTTTCCGGGGCTGAAGAGAGAGGTGCATTCGTCGTTGTTGGGGTCGCGGAAATAGTGTCTGAAGAGGAGGGAGGGGGAGAAGTGCTGGATGCGAGCGGTGATGGTGCTAGTGCCATGGAGATTACGATGGGAGTGATGCCCCCGGTTTTTGTGGATGGGGATGTCATGGTTGCTGTGTGGATGTATGGTTGTGCGTATTGTGGTGGAATGGGTTGCGTATGAAGAAAAGACGGGAGTGGGTAGGTTTCTTTTTCTTTCTTTCTTTGATTTGTGGGCTGGAGAGGTGGTGTGGGGAGAGGGGGTTCGTTTGTTGCCCGTTTGCTTCACATACGGGTTTCGTTGTGTTGGCACGCAAGTTGTCGTATGGCGTTGGGTAGAATGATGTGGTTGTCTGTTTGCTGATTGCGAACATTGGTATCGCTTGGTATTTCAGACTGGAAATTGTTCACAGTGTTTTATTCTGTTGAATTGGGACGTGGAGTTGTAAGTTTCAAATTCGAAAAGTGGTGATGGAGTTATGTGTTGGTGGGAATACAGGGATCAAAAGAGAAAGAATGCATGTAGGTAAAATACTGTTCCTTATCCACTATCGCTATGCTACATTACGAATGGACGGACCTATTCGAGTCTACAAAGATGCAAATCCGGCTATGTCTTAAAAAAGATCGTATTCTATAATTCTAAAGATTTGAAGCGAAAGTGAGGGGATTACTTGCTACGGCGGAAAGCAGCGAAAGGAGGGAAGAAGTATGCGGGGTGGAAGGCAGTGAGTACCGTGCATGCGATACCAAGCATCCTAATCATTGTAAGCTAGATGTTCCGAACTTGCAGTGAGAGTATTGTGACTTACATTCCATCAAGTAGGAGGAACTCGCGCTCATTGCGCATCAGCGCGTTACCCCAGCCACCAGCCATCTCTGGCAGACGGTATATGCAGCGAATGAGCACAGTAAGGTATGCCAACACAATGACACCTCCAAAAAGCTTGACCTTTCCAAGAGAAACACTACCAGCTTCCTTGTCCATCTCATAGCTGCTCTTCTCGTTCAGTGCACCGCGGTTCTGACGAGCCTTGCGGTATCGGAAGATGTAGATCAGAATGAGCACACCGCACACGACCATGGTGACAACCTGGAATGCAATACCAGCCACGATGAGCTTGTTGCCACCGTCAATGAGTTTCTTGTTGGTAGTGCCACCTGCAGCTGCCATACCTCCACCGACAGCTTGAAGCACAATGGAGCCGAAATCGCAGCCGACAAAGATCCATGGGTAAAGACGAGGCTTGATGAGTGAATATTGGGGCCCGCAGTACAGAACGAAGTGCTTGAGCGTAAGGTAGATGGCGGCAGCAACGAAACTAGGACCGAGGACGAGGCAGCAGATTTGGAGTTTGAAACCAGACTCGCTCCATGGGTTGCCGTTCATGATGATGCGACCGGCATATCCAGCGGCTTCGAGAAAAGTTCCGATGCCGAGGGCAAGAGTGTACGTCCATGTTTTGCTCAAGACGCCGATGACGATGCTAGCAAGGCAGCAAAGAGCGAAGAGAGCGCAAAGGAAAGCATTGGCACCGAGATTCGGCCTGTATCCGTAGAGCGTAGCGAAGACAGGGCATTCAGGCGATACTTCGAGACATTGGCGGAAATTTCCCTTGGGCCTATCTTCGGCGGCAGAAACGATAACGACCTGGGTGGCGAGGACAAGGGCAGCAATGAGACCTTTTTGCGCGTAGGAACGCATCTTGGGCGAAATGGACAAAATGGTGTTTACAGAAGCAGAAGGGAAAGAAGAGCAGAAGAAGAAGTAGGGCGCGAAACGACAAAAGCGACACCAGGCAGCAGATTGGTGTGATGTCTAAGCCATGCGGGTGTGGGTAGTCGACTAACTTCCGCGGCGCATGGTCGCTTCGAAGGGGACGCCTAGCCCTCTTCCATAATTATCCTCTGCGTGTTACTAGTCGAAGGGTGATACCCACCAACCGTATACGCCGTGTTCCCATGAGCGAGACTTCGCGAAGCTCTAAGCGAAGCACCTCTGCCATACTGCTCTATACGCTATTGGCTGCGCTTGCATCGTTAGGCCGATATGTCATGGCCAAGGCGTTGGCGTCAACGACTTGTGTTTAGACCGCGGGTTGGATATATCCCGGGCGCATGGGTCCCGCTGTATCGTCCATTTGCGGTGGCGCTGTGCGAGACCTGCCTTGGAGGGGAAAGGTGTTTGACGCGTGCAGGGGGCGAATCACGTCGGTTGCGTAGCGGCTTCGGTTGCAAAGTCTGGTGCTGCCGTTTTCCCGGTCGTTTCGATCTGGTCTTCCATTGTCTGTAGTCGTCGCAACGAACGCTGATCCTGCGTGTTTAAGCTTTCTTATATCAGCTTCCTCCAAACCTTTTCGCTACTACAGTTGATGTGTAGGTATTGATTTTGAGAACCTTTGAAATCCCTTCAGTGGTTCGTGAAGTGCTCGCGACGCTCAAAATTGGGACCTAAGCTGCCCTTGGTGTATACGCCAATGTCGTATTCTCGGATTGATTGTGCAACTTCACGTGCCGCATTCGCGGTGGCTGATTTTAAAGACGTTGAAAGGGCTGTGTTGGCTGACGTGCAGGACTTGGAGGCTTAGCCTAATTGAGACTTAGCTTCCTAGCCGATGTCCAAACATATGTCCTACCAGGTCTCCATACACTACTAGTGCATATATCATGGTCAAGGTAGTACAAGTGCTTCGTTTTGTACGTCGCATTCGGGAAATATCATAAGTATATGGTACTACCTTTGCTGACCGCTACAACTCATACTTAGTCAGCTGTCAATGAGAGTCTTTTCGTGTATACCTTCGCAGTTTCCAAACATAACTAGTGTGTACAGGGTATTTCAGCTCTGCATAGTTGTAGAGATGATCGCCATGTCTCCTGATTTTTTAGGTCCCAGCTTTCCAGACGTCTCTTCCATGCACGTATCAACAGGCTCGATCTCGATTCATTAAAAGGCATGACGCAGTACAAGTGTCACTACGGTTAAGAGATCAATCGAGAAATGCTACAGTCATGAGCGATTATGGCTTCGCCCTTACACGTAGCTGCGCAGCGGTTTCAAACAACATCAGCTATAGAACAATCGAAGTGATTGACCAGTCCTCGATCTTATGATGATCGGATTTTTAGAACGCTGGCTGCAGGTGAAGCCCAAATCATTAATCACTGTAGGCTGACTACATGCGGGGCACATGGTCAGCCTACTAATTCTCAATTTCGACAAGTTTTAGGACTAACTTAGTCTAGTATAGACATGCAATGTTCGATGTAAACTTATGTACAGCTTCAATCTTGGTCTACAGAAACCTTCTAAACTATCTTCGGCTTCTCGGGTTTCTAATCTCGTCCCATCTACTTGAGAATTTTTTATACACATGAGCTAGTTGGGAGAAGTACCATGGATCATACTAGGCTGTCAATAAACTTAACACATATCGAATGCTCCCATGACTCGTAGTTTTTCTTCTCACAACTGTCACATGACATGTCCTCGTTCCAACATTGAGAGTCTCTGTTCAAAGATAAATACCATCCAGACAATTCTCAATTGCATCTTCCCACCAAGTCGCCTCAACTCGATTCTCTCATATCCAACATCCCGCTCAAGCTGCTAGCTACTCCTGCCTTTATTTTCCCCTCACTCTTCAAAATGAAGATTCCAACCTCAGCCATTCTTCTCCCACTCTTTCTTACCACGGCCACAAACGCCTGGGAGCTCACCGTCTGGCTTAACAATGGCAAGCACGTCACTGCTCACGGCACCCGCAACTCGGGATGCGTGACATACGATTTTGACATGAACTCACCCGTCAAGCGGGCTAAATTCAAGGAGAGTACCTTTGCAGATACTTTCGAATTGTATGAGAAGGAGAAGTGTGGAGGCAGGGTTAGCTATAGGGAGAACGGGGGCGATTATCAGATTGTCCCGCCGAGGATCATTAAGAGTTATAAGGTCTACTAGCAGGTATGTGCATTGTGTTATGGAAAATTACATTTATCAAGTCAGGTTCCTAACAAAGGGTAGGCTACACTGAGTCGAATGGCAATCCAAGGCGAACCGAACAGAATTGCACATGGGTCTTGTTTTATTGGTTTTTTTTCACAGTGACTGTACAAATTAGCTTCGCCTTACTTACTAAAACCCTTACTGTCACTAAGAGTTGAGCATGTATTCTCATACCAAAAACCTCGCTAAAACTATATATATACATTTTCTTAAAGTATATAGATTTTTTTCGTGATTGATATATGCTAGTACTAGGAGCACACTACCTGTGGGAGGAAGTAGTGTCTGAGGTGGGCTTATGTAGGGCCCTCACCTATGTATACGCATTTGCCAGCCCTGAATATAATAATGTACTGATAGAAAACTTCGGTGCAGCAGATTACACTTTTATTAGAGCAGCAAAACATGGTTGGTAAAGATGAAAAATGTGTCTGAGTAAACATCGGTCGTATTCCATCTCCCATGCTGATCCACTTTACAAGAAAATACTGAAACCCCAGTTTCCACCACCCACTACTAACCAGTCTTTCGTTCAACCCACTCAATTCCCACCTCATCTTGTCTCGTCATCCTCAGCGTCAACACGTTCTGGCTATCCTCCATTAGATCCCGCAACCGTTGTTTCGCCTGCTCTTCACTCTCGCCTTCTTTGCGTGCAGGTCGAGCGTTGCATCTGCGAAACAGTGTCGCCATGACAGATACAAACTCCACCTGGGATATCTTCATTCCAGGGCATGAGCGGGGACCAACAGACCACGGCATATATGTGCCGTGTGGTGGTGTGATCAGGACGGGCTCTGGCGAATTGGGGTCCAGCCAGCGACTAGGCTTGAATTCGAGGGAGTCGGGTCCCCATGTAGAAGGTAGAGTGTGTAAGGCTATTGTGTTGATGTATGCGCCGAATGGGCCTGCAAGTGAGAAGGTGCGGTCGCCAAGTTTTAGCGTCTGGCTTGTTATCGCGTCCCGCAACATGAGTGTTACAGGTGGGAAGAGGCGCGCCGCTTCAAACTGTGAGGTTGAATCGTTAGCTCAAAGCCATCTCGCTACGGAAAGAAATCATGCCAGCTGGCTTTGTGTGGGGTAGACAGCAAAGATGGGGTTTGGATAGATGATGGGGATTATGAGTTACCTACCATGACGGCTAAACACCGCACTAGCTTAGGATAAACCGTCGAATAGTCTGTCTGTGATGGGCTTTGTGTTTCGAAAACAGCATCGATCTCGGCCTGTATCCATGCCTGCCATTCTGGATAAACGGCGAGAAGAGTAGCGGCGTAGCCCATTGTGTTTGCAGTCGTTTCATAACCAGCGGCAGTGAAGACGAAAAGATTTCCAGCGATTTCCTCCTCTGTGAGATATGTGGTAATAGTTTTGGATGAAGCTAAAGTTTTGTTTTGCTCCTTCTCCTGATCCGATATGCGAACAAGCGTGGTCATGATGGTAGTTGAACTCTTTTTTGAATTCTCTGTCGCTTCTGTGACATTCGAATGTGCAAGAAGATGTTCTTGACGTTCTCGATCAAGCACACTCTTCACTAGATCTGGCATCTCGTTCATTGCGGTACCTAGTCGTTTCAGTGCCTGTGGCATGAAAGGTAGCGTTAGCCAGGTGCGCGGAATGAATGCAGCTGCAGCAAGAAGTTCAACGACGGTTACAATTGCGTCAATATATCTGGTTTGCGCAGATGATTCAGTACTAGATGGCGGCGGAGACAGAGAAAAAGGCTGCCTGCGACCATAGGCAATCCGGACCAAGACGTTCAAAGCGACTTTGTGAAGGCTGTGAAGCGTGTTGGCGGATTCTTGGGCAGTAGGAGTCGAGTTTGATAATAACAAAACGTCGGAAAGGGATGATGCTTGTTCTGCGGCCTCTGTCCATACGTGTGGGCTGATGCGTTCATTGAGAGCAGGAGCGACAATACGACGGTGGCGCGACCACGAGTCACCTTTTGCCTGTTTTTCAACTGGTTAGCCAGCAAACAGAGAATAGTATGCAGACTTGTGACTTGCCGTCATGATGTTGGCTCCCAGAACACCCATGGATGTTATGGTAATGTCCGGGTGAGTAAAGTCTCGCCTATTAGACAAGATGTCGGTAGCCATTGTCGGGTCGGCACAGATGAGACGGTTGTTTCCCATGGTGACATAGATAAAGACAGGCCCAAGCCTTTCGTGAATAGCATACTTGTCACGAAATTCCCAACACCAGATACTCAGTTCGACAGTGGCGAATAGAGCAGCGGGGAGGATGCGAAGAAGCACAGGGCGGAGGGGGACACAGAGAAAGGCCCATATTGTCTGCAGATATGATTAGCCCAGTGTGTTTGTTCTTGTACGGATTGAGAAGGTTAGGTGACTTACACTATCTGGATTGTAAGGGCATAGAATCACGGGCAACCCAGTAGCACGGGCTACTTGGTAGTTGTTACTAAATCTTCTTAGCTTGGGGCCCAAGTACAGCAGCACTACGCCTATCAATCCGACGATGATAGTAAGCAGCATGGTTTTTAAAAAGATGGTAGCTTTGATCAGCTCAGGCCTTTTGAACAATGTTCCAATGACCACTGATTGTCTGGCAAATTGGATAATAAGATTGTAGTCAAATCCAAGGGCTCTTGTGGGCGGCGTGCTGTTGATGATGACGCTCAAGATGCCCCTGCCGGAAGATTCGGATCCGGACTGTCAGAAAGCAGACCACCCGGACTCTGACTTGTGCTGTACCCAAACATGCCCTGCCAAGAGGTACTAGTAGGCGCTGAAGCCCAGTGAATAATAGCATCGTGAGCTAATCTTGAATCAATTCTATCTCTCTTCTTAGTATTTTTTTCTACAAAGTCTTTTCTATTTCGTGAACATATCCCTTTCTATAACTAGAATAAAACTTAACCTATTATTAGTTAACGTAAGAGAAACACTTGTTAACAAGCTACTAACATAATGCACACTTATAACATAACTACTCAAAAACTATTAGAAAAGTAGTTAGAATAACTATATAGAGAAGTTTCGTATTAAAGTTTAGCGTGCTATATCTAGACAAAGATAGGGTCGCGTCGCATGTTTACAACCGAACTGTGTGTGTACATGGTGTTATGTCGCCCTTGCTTCGGGCTGACTTCCGCATGTCTGTGCGTGTGAGGAGTAAGTATGTCACTGCGTCACCACTTTACGAGGGACGTTGTATGTAAAGTGTAAATGAGTACAAAGGCGACAGCCAACAAGAGAGCAAACTATGTATATGTGCAGGTGTATAGGAGCCATTCATATGCGCATGGTTTGTTGCTTGCTCAACTCCTTTCCAAGTAGGTGTATCCCTTGCCGTTGGGTGTGGGTGTGATGCTGGGCCGACTTGCAAGGGTGATGAGGTGCTAGTGTGTAGTTTTCACAGAATTTTTGATGGAAGGATACATATGTGAATTGTCAAAATAGAGCGCATAGTTGGATATATGTAGTGTAGTACGTACGTCCGTAGTGTACCTGTATGGGAAGTCGACTGCAATCACGAAACGATGGCGTGATAGGCAGCGATCTACCACACTAATCCTACTCGAGTATCTCTCTTATCGCCGCAACTTCGGGGCCGGGCCAGGCCAGGTACCGCGGCCCCATGACGCGCAACATTGAAACATGTGCAACACCAAAAACACCAAACACTTGGGCTGACTCTTAGAACTTCATCTCCTTTTTTCGGCCGAATCAAAGCAGCAATGGCATCTTCGGACGACCTGAGCAAGCTCGCGACACCGCCCATGTGCACGGCAGACTTTTGTCTCATCCCGCTTGGCACCCCCACGGCGTCGGTGTCCAAGGAAGTGGCAGAAGTGCAACGACTCCTGAAGAAGAGCGGACTGGAATACTCAATGCACTCTGCTGGCACAACTCTTGGTAAGATTTTTCGACGCATCACACATTCTTCTCGGCCGGGAAGCAGTGTGCGTGTGTGTGTCCATGTGGTATTATCTGCGGGGTATCATGGCATGGGATGGAGGGGTAATAAGAGGCGAGGCTTGGAGCGCATGCTAATTTTTTCTCCTTACAGAGGGCTCATGGGACGATGTGATGCGGGTTATAGGGCAGTGCCACGCCATGCTCCACCAGAATGGAATTGTGAGGATTCAGAGCGACATCAGGGTGGGGAGCAGGACGGACAAGAAGCAAGGGTTCAAGGACAAGGTTGCGGCCGTCGAGCAGCTCTTGAAGGAGGATGAGGGCGCGTGACGCGTGGTCGAGGATGACTTGTCAGGGCGGCGGATGGGATGCATGAAGAAGGAATTTGACGTTGCCAGTCCGGCGTGAACACGCAGACGGCACATGTGGTTGCCCAAGCCACAGGGTGTGGGTGAAACAAGACTCCTTTTTGCGCCATTGGCTGTTTGGTGTCGTGGGCCAGTAGGCGGATGCTGGGGTAGGATGACATGGCTGGGATCGGCTAGCATTACGTGGAGAGAGTAGGACGGCCGTCCTGCCGCAGATTACCTTGCATGTGTAAATGGATATTCATAGCCTGAGAGTGTGTGTAGCTGTGCTGGCAAGCGACTGGGGGCCAGGGCTGGCGAAACGGTCGGTCGAGGCTGCGGCCTATGGCTCCATCGCAAAAGACAACCCCGCATGGTGGTGCTCCAGAATCTTCACCGCCAGTCGACGTGGAAGCACAGTAGCGCAGCGTAGGCTGTGAAGGATGGTGGCAGTGATAGGCCAGGCCCTGGGGAGACGCACGGCCGAGGGGAGGTGGAAAAAAGTTGGCGGGTGCCGAGCAGCATCATCCTTGACGTCGGTACCTCAATCCCGGAAAATCCCCTCGACTCCCGCAAATATCCTCGCGCCTCGCACACTCCCATCACTCCACCCACCACCTCCAGCCATATCTGCACCCGCCCTCCCACTGCGCCCTCCCGCCCCATACCATCCTCTACATACTCTCCGTCAACACACCCTCTCCGTCCCACGCCTCCCGCTCCGTCTCCCCCGTCAGTGTCTCGTGTGATCGCATGGCAAATGCACGCGACCGCACCATCACCTGCCAATCTCTAGCTCCCGCCCGGTAAAGTCGACGCTCAACCCTCGCCGCACCGGGCGATCCCAATTAATCGCCATGGCTTTCAACTTCAACTGGTCCCCGCTCATCGCAGACACGTCGCGCGCCCGCGACATGCTCACCACCGCCCTGAACAAGTCGCCCAAGCCGCCCATCATCGTCGACGACATCATCGTCACCGAGCTGAACCTGGGCACCACCCCGCCCGAGCTGGAGATACTGGAGATTGGCGACCTGGCAGAGGACAGGTTCAGGGGCATTTTCAAAATGTCGTACGCCGGCGATGCCTTCCTGACCCTCAAGACAAAGGTCCAGGCAAACCCGCTTAAGACGTACTTATCCACAAAACCAGACTTTGCCTCGCCCCAGCCCTTGGCCGCCGCCTCGGGCCTGACGATACCTCTCCAAATCACCCTCTCCGAAATACGCCTGTCTGGCTTCGTCATCCTCGTCTTCTCCAAGCAAAAAGGCCTGACGCTCGTCTTCCGCAACGACCCTCTCGATTCGCTCAAGGTCTCTTCAACCTTTGACTCCATCCCCTTTGTGCGCGACTACCTCCAAAAGGAGATTGAGGGCCAATTGCGTGTGCTGTTCATGGAGGACTTGCCGGCTATCATCCATAGGTTATCCCACCGAATGCTCTCACCAGAGTACCGCGAAATCGACATGGAAGAACGCTTGGAGGGGGCCAAGGACACAACCGCTGCCATCGACCCTCTTGCATCCCCGCCTCAAGATGCTGTTGATGCCTTTGGCAATCCCCTAGACGAGGCCCAAATATCTGCCTTGTCCCTAGACTCGGGCGAGATACATGCCTCGTTTTCGCAGAAGAATATCCTCCGCCTCGCCGCACTCTCCGAATCCCAACGAACCTTGTCGCTCTTCACACCCGGCATACGCGATGCTGTGTTCCGTGCCTGGGCGGGCCATCCCGACCGGCCCGAGTCTGGCGTCGCCACCCCTGCACTCACACAAGGCAGTTTGTCAAGGATACAGTCAACGTTTGGTAGCCTAAAGTCTGGCGCATCCTCGGTTGCTTCTGATAGCACGGGCAACGAGACCCTGAGCTCACGGCCGACTATGGTTTCATCCTTTTCCTCGTCGGCCGGACTCAGTCTCGGCTCCGCTCGCTCGCGCGCTGGGGGCATGCGCAAACGCAAGAAGCGCGTCGTCGATCTACGGAAAAAGGACACCCCAGACTCTGGTGTATCTACAGGAGAAAACACGCCACTGCCGAGCGCATATGCATCCGAAACATCAAGCGTTATACCAGAAGAGAGGGAGGCAGAAGACGAGCTGGCTACCCCGCCAATGAGTCCCACACAGCCAGGGGTACGCTTCGAGGGCAGGCGTGGAAGCCTCGATGTTGGTACCCCTAAACGTATACCTGAGTCCAAGCCGGTACTCGAAGAGCCACCTGCTTTTGGTTCTCTCGCCCCTGCACCTGAATTCTCAAAAGCACCTAGATCTGCAAAGTCGAAGCAGGTAGCACCTCAGCACTCGCTACCATTTGTACATCTTGAAGACCCATTCATATCCCGCGGATCTCGACGCCCGCCCATTTCCCACAACAAGTTACGACAGGCCCAGCAATCCACCTCTCCACTCCTACGCTCCCTGTCTTTCGACAAAGTCTCGTCCCTCTCAGCTCTATGCTCACCCCCTCGCGCCCTCTCTCCACCTAATACCAACATGGCATGCAGCTCCGGCGGCATCCTCGAGCAAGCCTGGATGCACAAGATGGCACAGGAAATTGCGAGAAAAGTGCAGGAAGAAAAGGACCGGTCTTCACGGCAACGGCCCTCGAACCACACACGCACAAAGACCGCCCCTGCGGGACGAAGCTTTTGGCAGAACGACGATGAGATTGAGGCACCACCTGCTTATGTGGCGTAATATGGACCCCTCTCTCTCTCTCAAAACAGCGAAAAAGTGGCCTTGTGATGAAGTTATGAGCGATGATATTTTGTCATGACCAGCGCTTTTTTCTTGTTTGTCTTTTTTTGTTCTCTCCTCAACCTTTTGGTCTAACCTTATTTTTGGTTTCTTGCTCTGTAATTTTGTTCCATGGGGTTTTTGAACCCTTTTGTTTCGTTTGTCTGATCAGCATTTGTGTCTTAGCATCGGCGTTTGTCACGGGTAAGGATTGTAAGGGGGCAAGGTAGAGTAAAAAACGGGAGATGCGGGGGATCAAAAGTATTGTTTGGTTTCAAAGTTTGGAAGAGAAGAAGGTCAGACACTTATTGCATAGCGCTAAACGGTGGTTGTTAGCATTTCTTCTTTGTTGTTGTTTGAGGCGCCAGGACTACGGAAATCTGATCTGGGGCAAGTGATCAGCGGGCATTGCAAGGCGAGGGGGAACGGAACACTCACCACACATCCTTTTTTCTTCTGTCATTACTAATCCATTTTAACATTCTTCGTCTCGCAATTGAAACACGACGGGTCTTTTCCTCGTCTGGCTGGTTCTTGCGAAGTTTACACATAAAAAGAGATGGGGAATCTATCCGTACATACACATGTATTGTGGTGAAGGAAAAATCACAATAAGAATATCATTCACGTACACCACTCAAAGATATACAAGTCAAACTGTGAAGATACAGCACTCAAAGATATACACAACTCAAACTGTGATGAAAACGATATGCAAGTAGAATTTTGCTATGAAGAACAAAAAAAAGAAGAATATGCAACCCCCAAACACCCCATTCATGCATTCATAACTTCGTGATCCCCTCCATCCAATCTTTCCCATGAAAAAGAAAAAGAAAAGAGGGAGGAGAAGGAGAGGAAAAAAAATCCCAAGGACACACACACACACACACACAAAACAAAACCATGCGACCACTTTCACCCCGCAACATCACCAACCCTAACCCACCTCTCCTCAAGCGCCAGGACAACCAATTCCTTCACACTCTCCAGACTGTCTTGTCTGCCCAGGGCAACAGGACACAGTAACTCGCTGACACGTCTGAGTACTTTGTACAACCTCGCTGCTTTCTTTTCAATTTTAGACGCGACATCGTCTGTGTTATCGTCGGGGGAAGGATTGGTGGGCTTGATGAGGAAGTGATTGGTAGGGATGGTGTTGTGGGGTGCAGGGGAGGAAGAAGAAAGGTGGTTCAGGAGTTTGTGGAGGAGGAAGTGAAGCCAGAGGAGGTTTGTTTTTGGGTGGAAGGAACGCCATGGTGATGCTTCTTTGTCGTTTCCGACTTTGCCTTGTTCGGTTTCTTGGTCGAATCGGATGTGTGTGTTTTGACGGGGAGCAGAGTCATCGCTTTCTTCGCGGTGTAGTAGTTCGTCCGCGGCGGATTGAACGGGGGGTTGGAATGCCATTGGGTTTCCAAAAACGGTTGCGCCACGCATGTAGCGGTAGATTTCGTATTGATATTCTTCGCTTGCGTCACCGTCGAAGATGGCGGGGTCCTTGTCGAGATCGAGGTATGCGACTTCAGATTCTGAGTTGTCGTTGTGGCTTGCGGCTGTTGAGCTGGAGATGTGGGATAGACTCGATAATCTGCGTGATGATGCGGGAGATGCTGGTGCAGCGACAACGTCTGCGCGCGAAAGCGTGTAATCAATTACTGTAGTATCGAGTCCTGTGAACCGCAATTTGCGACGCAGAGGATCTTTGATGCTGGGCTGCGATACGTCGCCTCCTGTCCGACTGGACCGCACGCAGATGTTGCCCAGATGCAGGTCGCGATGCTCAAAGCGACATGCTTCCTCTGCTTTTCCGAGGCTAATGGCTACACCCCAGAAAACATCCCATACCTCCCAGATGGAGGCTAAATGACCTGCCTCCATCATCTTTTCGCAGTCGGTACCTGCATCTTCCATTTCCACCACGGCCCAGAGTTGGTTTTCGTCGTAGCTGGATTTCTTACTGGGGTCCGGGAATTCGCTCTTCTTGCCCCGCGGGCGCGATTTATTCCACTCTTTCCACGCATCGTTAAAGGACGCCGAGGGCCGGCCTTGCACAACAGTCAGATCGCGGAAGACTGTAAAACCGGGAATGTGAGTGAGATTTTGGAGGAGCTTGACTTCTGACAAAACATCGTCGACTAGGGATTTGAACTGGTCATCTTCGTCTCGCTGTGCTGTTTCCTTTTCTATCTGCGCTTCAAGGTCTCGTACAGCGCGGCCGTGTAGTTGGCATGGGAGAGGAACAGTGGGCGGTGTCTTGAGCGCCACCACCTTCAGAACAGATTCTTCTTTGACACCATTGGCTGATGATGTCGATGATAGGCGATACACTTCTGAGAAGGAGGCTTCTGCAATTTTGCAAACTTCAAAGTGAGGCTCCAGCTCGTCTGCCCAGTCCTGAAATGCGGCAATCTTCTTCCTGTCGCTGAGAGCTAGTAATGGGGAAGCATAAATGGAATAGAGGTCGTCAGGTTCAGGTGTCGGTTCTGGAGTAGGCAGTTGAGGGACCGGGGTTGGTATAGCACGCTTCTTCTCCTTCTTCAGTCTTGGTGCGGCTGCTACCGGACAGTTTGTTGGATCCGAGGCATTGATATTTCGGTCGCTAAGCACTTTTCTTGGCTTCCGGGGCTTCTGCAGCATCGTCTGGTTTTCCTCATCTTCCGCAGCATTGATCGCTGGTGTCTTCACACTCTGTTCCAGTACATCCTCTAGCGGGGCAATGTTCTCCTTGGTAACATCGACATCCTGGCTGGCCTTGGCTTCTTTCTGTGGTTTCGTTCTCTTCTTTGTCGTAGTTCTCTCCTCGTTTGCACTTTGCTTCTTGTCGATCTGCAAATCCTCAAACGCCCTCTCCAGTACCGAAGCCTCATTTGGTGCCTGGAATGTGCTTTCCTCTGCTTCCGCCGCTGCCAGCAACTGCTCCCGCCAATCACTTGTTGTGCTACTGTCTGCATTTTGGCTTTTCACTTTTCTGGGTGCGACTTCCTTCTCGGCCGACAACAACTTCGTGAACGCATTACGTTCGCCATTTCTTTTCTTTCCGTATACAACTTTTGGTGGCATTTTGAGCGAATGAAC